GATGGTGGACTGTGATGTGGGCGTGTAAGCCAAATAAACCCTTCATCTTCAAGCTGCTTTTGTTCATGGTGTTTTTATCACAGCAATAGAAAGCGAACTAGGACACAGTCTAGATACTTCTCTTGATGGCCCATGGTCAGGATACGATGATGTCACCACAGGTGATATAGGTTCTTCCCTCCTGAGACCGCTGTGAATCACAGAGTTGTTTTTCATCTTTTCCCAAGATTACAGATTCAGAAAAGCAACTAAAACTTTCTGAATAAAGCATCCTTTTCTACAAATAAGTTCCTTTTTAAATAAAGCATCTGTTTGCTTGTTTGTTTTTGTTAGTTTGTTGTAGCCCAGCTAACCTCAAACTCACAGAAATCCTGCTTCAGTATCCCAACGCAGGGTTGGGGTCGGACTTTCATCAAACTTCATTTTTTCAGGTGCATAGAAACCAGGATTTTCTTAATGTTAAGGATTATTATTTTGACTCATGTTTTTGTTATAGTAATAACATATTCCCAATGCAACTTCTGAAAAAAATAAAATTTGATTTTTCTTTAGCTTTTTTCTAGACATGAAGCAGTAAACTTTATTAGCAGTATTGACTCAATTTTCAATCAGTAATAGTTATTTTAATTTAAAAATAAAAATAGTAGAATTTGTTTCCAACAATAGTACTTCAATTGTCTATAACTATAAAATATGTCATTACTGATAAATTAAAATGGATAGTCCCCAAGTATATGCCATTATTAGCAAAACAAATTGTTTCTGTGAGAACCAGAGGCACACTATATCTTCAATGGTGGGCTGAATTTCTCTCAATACTCTCTTTATCCACCCATAGCACTTTCTCGTGTAAGCCACTTAGCAGTTATTTCTGCACTATGGTTATCCACATACACTGTTTTGGAGATCGGTTCTCATATGGTTCTGGTTGGCCTCTACGACAGCTGAGGTTATGCTTGAACTCCTGATCCCCCTGTGTGTGCCTTCAAATTACTAGGGTCACACGTCTAGGCCACAGTGCCCAGCCAGGCTTTCCTTATTTTAGAATTCTATTATCAGCATCGTACACTGAAAGACTGCAATAAACCAAGTTTGTTGGCACTCGGGAGGTAGAAGCAGGAGGACCAAGAACTAAAGTTCACCCTCAGCTACTCGGCTTGGTGGCCACCCTGAGCCTTGAGCTACATGAAGTATACAAAAAAATAAAAACTAAAAATAAAAGAGAAAGAGTGTGAGGAGATGTCTCGGGCATGAAGGGCCTACTGTGCTAGCATGAGGGCCTGAACTTGAATCCTCAGCATCCACATCCAAAAAAGGAAAAGAAGGGGCTGGAGAGATGGCTCAGTGGTTAAGAGCACTGACTGTTCTTCCAGAGGACCAGGGTTCAATTCCCAGCACCCGTATGACGGTTCACAAGTGTCTGTAACTCAGTTTCAGGGGACCTGGCCCCCTCACACAGACATACATGCAGGCAAAACACCACTGTGAATAAAATTTAAGAAAGAAAGAAAGAAAGAAAGGAAGGAAGAAAGAAAAGGAAAAACCCAGAGATGCCAGTGTGAACCTGTAACCCAAGAACTGGGGCAAAGAGCAACAGATGGCTCTCCAAATCTCATCAGCCAGCGAGCCCAGCAGAGCTGATGAGCTTCACGTCAGGGAGGGAGACATTCTGTCTCAAAGACAAAAGTGGGTGGTGACAGAGGAAGACAGGACATTGATTTCTGGCCTCCACTTGCATGAGCAGCACATGTCATACATACTTGCACACACACGTGCGCACACACACTAACACATACAACACATACAGACACATATAATAACAAAAGTGTCTATAGGAAATGATTAAACTCAAGTCCTTATCTATGTATCAAATAGCCCAACAATTTCCTGAAAGTCTCCCAGGCAAAGCCTTTCTGTCTGCATTATAGTTCTAAATGGAGTGTACAGGGACATTGCTGTTCATCGTCTGAATCCTAGTGCACATCTGTCCTCTTGTCTTAAGGGTTCTACTGTATCGAAATGCTGCCTTTCCTAGCTCTATGCATACTGCATAAACATAAACATCTTCCTAGTGTCTGCTCTCTAAATATGACTGGTGATCTTAACTGCAGAGTCCTTGCTTTGTAACTGACAGAAAATTGTGGCTCTGTGACATAAACATGAATCCCGAAAAATACGAACAAAAACTAAAACATTTAACGGGCTACTCAGATTGGACTAAAGGAGAGAATGGAAGACAAGCAGAGGACCTGGAGAAGCCTGACTGTGTCCGCCTGACTGTGTCCGCCATGGTTCTTTAAAGCGACAAACAGTTAGAAGGACTATATCTGTCCATGTATATTAAAAGGTGATCTATTAGAGTGACTTACAGGCTGTGGTTCAAGTAGACAACAATGGCTGATGGAAAGGCCAAGGCTCAGTCCATGAGGCTGTTTCAGCAGTCTCGGTCTGGAGCTGGAGTCCCGGGAAGTCCTAGAGAGCAGCCAGTCTCCAGTCTATGCTGGAATCCCAAATGAAAAGGTTCTAACACCAGCAAAGGACTGCCTCAGGAACAGGATAGCTGAATTTGCCATCAAGAGTGAGGGCTGGCAGGGGAAAAGCAGGTGTGAGCTGCCACCAGAAGGCCCAGATTTAGGATGGGTCTCCTCACCTCAAATGATCTAATCAAAAGCCAAAAGCCAAGCTTGGTGGCCCATACCTTCAATCCCAGCATTCAGGAGGTGAAGGCGGGAGATATCTGTGAGTTTGAGGGCAAGCTGGTCTATGTAGTAAGTTCCAGGACAGCTAAGACTGTGAAGAGAGATCCTGTTTAAAAACAAAACAAAAACAAGACTTATCAAGAAAAATCCCTCACAGACACACCCAGATGTAGTCAAGTTGACAACCGAGATTAGCAATCACACAGAACAAAATTTTGGCCCAAAGGGAAAGATTTTTTTTTTTTCAAAAGAAATAAGAAGTATAAGGGATCAGGGTGCTGGAGAGATGGGTCAGCAGTTAAGAGCACTGGCTTCTCTTCCAGAGAGGTCCTGAGCTCAATTCCCAGCAACCACATGGCCGCTCACAACCATCTGTAATGAGATCTGGCGCCCTCTTCTGACCTGCAGGCATACATGCAGGCAGACTACTGTACACATAATAAATAATTAAGTCTTTAAAAAAATGTAAGAGATCAGAAGACAGCAGTGTGTGTGGCTATGGTCTGGCAGGCTGTGCAGGGAAAGCAAGCCTGAGCATGAGAACTTGGAAGCGTTCTGAAAGATTGTAGAGAGCTCAGCCAAGATCCAGGAAGGGAACGAGGGTAGAGGGGCCAGCTAAAGGCAGCAGCCCCAAGGCTATGGGGAGCTCAGAGAATACAGGGACTGTATCCTAAAGGACAGACCTCTTATTTTATCCTAAGTGTTAACTAAACAGATACCATGGTCTGGTGCTTACAACTCAACCTGACTGCTTTGGGAAGAAAGAATGAGAGGCCCTGCAAGAACAGGTGAGGGTAGGAGACTCTGTAGGTGGAGGGGATGGCGGCTCACACCAGCGTGGAATGTTGGCTTAGCATGGTAATTCTTCTGTCTTGTGTAGGCAACACTACGGCTAGCTTTAATTGTCAGCTTGACCTAATCTAGAATCGCCCTGGGAAGAGAGTCTCAGTGACGAGCTGTCTAGATCAAAATTGGCATGTGGGCAAGTCTGTGGGGGGTTGACCTGATTTAAGAAGAGGTGACACCCTTCCCTGGGTCTGAGTCATGAGCTGTCTAAGAGTTGAAAGGGAGTGGAGTAGCAGGCATGCATGCTTTCGATCTTTAACACACATGGAAGGCAGAAGAAAAAGAACAGGTCTAGACTTCTGTGTTGGATGTGTCCCACTGAGGTGGCTGCTACTGTCCCTTGTTGCTATGCAGTAAAACCCTCACAGGTATCTCCTCCTCCTTTGTCTCTCCAGTGCTCCATCTTCGCTGCTTCACGCCTCGGGCTGAAGTCTCTCTGACTTCCTGTGATGTAACTCTTGTGTGATTTCCTGTGGGTCTCACCCACGAGGTGTTTATAAAGTCTGTGCTGTAAATTAATGAATGCATCCTGAGCTGCCATTTGTTACTTCCTCCTTCCTGCTGTCGGCTGCTTTATCTGGGCCCCTTCACACCCAGTAATATATCTCTAAGTCCACATTTCACCCTTCCTGGGTTAGGCCAAGGCCAAACAGGTGGGCTAAACTAAGGGGTTTGAAGAATGTGTCAGTATCTAGAGGCTTCCCCCCCCCCCTCTCTCTCTCTCTCTCTCTCTCTCTCTCTCTCTCTCTCTCTCTCACACACACACACACACACACACACACAAAGCAGCAAATCATACAGGATCCCACACACATCATTTTAGGGACCATAACTTGGTCAGGTTCTAAGACTGAGCATTCTTTATTAATGGGGAGAAACATCTTAAACCTTGAAACACACGTGACTATTTCAGTAAACAGTCAGGATAGCAGATTCTGAATCTACTATGCTATACTACTATCATATACTAGATTTTGGCTCAATAACTCACTTCCTAGTAATATTATGGATCTCAAGGAAACAGCAGAGATTTTCATAAAGATGAAATTGTTCCAGGCAGGGTATTCTTGGTGGTATAAAGTAAGGACATATATAATTTGAGAAATAGGAAGAAAGTCTCAAGCGGAGCATACGCAAGCTAGAATATGCAGAAGCTCTAGCATTTGTATGAAATATTAATATGAATGCTTATTTGCTTTAAATATTCTTATTCTATAGGCTGACCCAGAACTCAATATGTAAGCCAGACTGTCCTTGAACTTGTGGTAATCCTCCTGTCTCAGCCCCCCAAGTGCTGGGACTGGAGGTAGGTACCACCACACTCAACTCTAGGGTGATGATTTAGTAATATGTTTTTGTTTGTCTGTTTTTGCCATTGGCTATCCGTTGAGAAAGAACAATGAGACAAAATCAAGTATTTTCTTTATAACATAGTTAGTGGTATTTCTTTTTTAGCATCGAAAACAGGCTAATACAAACTGGTGAAGACTTCCAGACATGAAGGCGTTACAGTGCAGCTGCAGACACAGCTCATGCCACCACTTTGTAAGGAAACCCCAGGAAGCTACAACCAAGAGGAGAAAGGACACTGCAGAAGTGTCTTCAAGTATTGCCCTTTTTGCTTGTATGAAAAACGAGGACCATCACACCTACCCTCAGAAGCTATGGATCAAAGCAGACAGATCTTTGAAATTATTCTGAAAATTGTTCTTAAATGGGAGTGATTATTGTTATGAAGAAGGGATGCCTAAGGCAAGAAGCTTTCCCGCCACCACAAGGAATCCTGGTTTGAGTCTGGAGGAGGCAAAAGTTCATAGTGGAACTTCACAGCATGGCAGAAGCTGCCCAAATCTGATGGTTGTCCCACAAGGTATGTAGGACACCAGCTGGGGTTATAAATGTATGGGGTGTCATCAGGTGCTGGACAACGTGGGTGTCAGGTGCTGGGCAAGGTGCTTTGGAGCCACTGCTGCCTAAGTACATGCCAGAAGGTAGAGTAAACTTGTTTCTGGCAATTTCCACCCTGTGTCCTGGCTAAGATGTTCCTGCTCACTGAAATACACAATACAAGCCATGAGCCATGGAGCATCTGTGGATCTGGTCCTGTACTCCCATGGTGGTACACGCAATTGTTTCCATTAGTAACCATGAGAAGAATGAAAGAGTAACAATATTTTAATGAGATAAATGTGCTATGTAGCTCAGGGATGGCCTTGAACTTCTGACCTCCCTGCCTCTACTTACAAGTGATGGGCTTACAGGCATGCACCACTATGCCTGTTTTTATGCAGTCCAGTGCTTTTTGCATGCTTAAGTAAGCACTCCACCAACTCAACTTCTTCCCTAACCTGGGTCAGATTGAGTCATAGTCTTCCAGCTTTTTTTAAGCACTGTGAAGTAGTCAAAAGAACCCACGTACACATCCGATGGCTGACTTGGTCTCTCAGATGTCATGGATATTTCAAACGTGGCTGCTTACTGAGTTCTGTCTCCCATCCTAAACCTGCTATAATGGTTTGAATAGGTATGGCATGCCCATAGACTCGTGTGTGTGAATGCTTGGTCCATAGGGAGTGGCGCTATTAGGTGTGGTCTTGTTGGAGGGAGTGTGTCACTGTGGGGGTGGGCTTTGAGGTCTCATATGCTCAGTCTATGCCCAGTGTGGGACAGTTTCCTTCTGTTGCCTGCAGATCAAGATGTAGAACTCTCAGCTTCTTTTCCATCACCACGTCTGCCTGCATGCTGCCATGATTCTCTCCGTGATTATAATGGACTGAACCTCTGAACTGTAAGCCAGTCCCAATTAAATGTTTTTTTATAAGAATTTCTGCAGTTATGGTATCTCTTCACAGCAATAGAAATCCTAACTTAGACACTACTCTTCCTTATTTCAACAAATAATGTTGCCAAATACCTATTTTTCTTAAGCCTAAACTTAGCTGCATCTTTAACTTCTCTGTTCTTCACCCTTTATATCTAATCTTCCCATTACTCTTTTTTTTAATATTATCAAGTTAAAATTTATTTTTTGCTTCAGAGCCCTTCAAAACAGTGAAAAGACATTAAGAATAGAAGAAAATATTTGCAAAATTGTGTCTAAAATATAGCACTAATATTAATATCTTAGAGTTCAATAATAAAAAGATAAATCAATAAAAATTGTAAAGTCTGAGGATAGTTTACACATAAGAAAGATAAATAAATAGGGAATAAGAACATAAAAAATTCTTAATATCCTAGACTTTGCAAAAAGGTTATTAATAACTTAACTACAAAGATATTTTCAACAAATATTTTGTTCTTTTTGAAATGGCTGTTTTTCGATGCTGTTTTGGTCCTTCCCATTACTCTTGCACTGAATTCAGATGACCTGTGGGCCATCCAGGGCTCTGCTTGCAACTCTCAGCTCATCCCTCACTTTGCTCCTTGAGAATGGCTCCATGACCATCTTCCCCAGGTCATGCTTACTGCATTGCAATACTGTGTTTTAGGGGACGGCTGTTCAGGGAGGGTTGGCTTGCCGTTTCTCTAGATATTAACAATAACAATGGCAAATATTGATGTAGGCTGTTGGTGTGGCAGGCTCACCATCAAGGGCCTAAACTAGCTCAGTCCTCACACAGTGCGATGAGCTGGGCACTGGCATAGCTCCCTTCGCAGACAGAAGAAACCAAGACATGAAGTATTTGTTCACTGTCACACCGCTGTCTTGGTGTAACCACAGACTTTCCAGGGAGCAGGGTCGTGGGCAGACGTCTGTGTTTACCAGGTGTGTTGGGATACCCTGGTAATGCCTAGGGAGGTGAAAAAGATACAGTGGCGGAGGGAAGATGTGTCAAACCATGACACTGCTGAGAAGCTAAGTGGGGACTCTCTATACTCCTGCATGGACTTGTCCTTGGTAGCAGTTTTTGGAGGAGGGGCCAGGAAGCTCCTTTTCTAGAGCCAATAGCTGGAGAAAGACTGCAAGACATTCAGGGCAGCAGGAGAGCAACAGCAGTGCTATGTGGCCACCGTGCAGCATACCCCGTGGAACACATTAGCCTCTGGGGTCAGTGAGAAGTCAGTAATCCTAACTTTAAAACAGAAACATTATCTCATAGCTTCTATTAGTCAAGAATCTGGGGGTGTCTTGTTTGGATCCCTCTAACTCAACCCTGTTGATGAAAAACATGCTGACCATTGTTAGAGTGTTTCAACCATAAGGACAACATTAAGGAGAGTTGCAACAGGTGACAATGGCTGTTGTACTTCCAGAGAGAGTGCTGGCTCAGTTCTGAATCCAGTACCAATGCAAAACACAGCTACCACCCCCAAATAAGAAGCAGTTTATTCTCAGCCAAATATGAGTTCCCACTGTTTGGGAACTCAGATTCAAGTTGCCTTGAAAATCATACTCCATGGTGAAAGTGGTTTCATGAATTTTTTAATTGGGGGGGGGGTATGTGCATGTGATGCAGACTGCTGAGCTCAGAAGAGGGTGTTGGGTCCCCTAGAGCTGGAGATGCAGGCAGCTTGAGCAGTCTGACATAGGTGCTGGGAGTCAAACTCAGGTCATCTCCAAGAGCAGCATCCCGTCTTAGTTTCTCTGGCTCTGGCTACAGAAACTTTTAATAGTCACAGAACAAAATGAAGGCATAATTTAAATGTATGTGTATGCATACACAGATCATCTTAAAGTCCGACTCTGCATCTAAGAGAAACCTCATAGTAAGAAAGTCGTAAATTAAGGAATTTACTAAATATATTAGTAGAGTCAGTAGGCAAGTGAGTTAAAGAAAACGAGGAGATCCCTGCTATAAGTCTCAGACGCTACCTGACAATGCTCATAGCTTTTGGGTTAGTGTAAGTCTGTGATCTCTTAAGGTAGTGTATGTTACAGGTTTCCCCTGAGAGATTCCTGTAAGCAGATTTTTCTGTCCCACTGGCCAGCTTCCAAATAATCACACAGACATTTCTTATTAATTATGAAAACTTGGTCAATAACTTAGTCTTGTTCCTAACGAGCTCTTAGAACTTAAATTGACTTTTTTTTTTTTGATCTCATTTTACCATGTGGCTTTTACCTCTATCTCATTTTCTGTGTCTGGCTTGTCCTGTATCCGTCTGGTTTCTCCACCCTTCTTCCCAGCATTTTTTTCTGCCCCCCAAATCCTGTCTAACTATTGGCCGTTCAGCTTTTTATTAAACCAGTCAGAGTGACATATCTTCACACGGTGTAAAGGAATATTCATGGAGAGTTGATTAAGGGTTAAAGGAGCTAAAGATAGTCCAAGACAAATCGGCTCAGGACCTGTAACATCTTAACCACCTAGAACAAAGCTGTAATCCTTCAATCGGCCTTTAGGATATGTAACATAGTTTTGGCTTGGGGGAAGGACTGGGGGCAGGGCTTAGTCAGTTCCTGGTGTTGCACCTCAATTTATGTCTGCAGAAGCCCGTTGGTTTTTTTTCACACCCTACAGAGCTCAGCAGGCCCCTTCCTAGGCTATGATGAAAATCAGGTAGAGTAGACAAGAAGTCAGTCTTTAGGAAAAGGAAATAGTTGTTAAAGCCTTTAAGGAAGAAGCTGCTAAATTGCTTCAACACCATCAGTCACCACGATCTGGGTATCACTTTTTTTTCCTGTCCTTTGTGTCTGGCATAACATGTACATGGATATATGATAGGAGCTATTATACGTAAAGTTAAGATCATCAAGAATGGTCTATGTCCGAAGGCAGTAAAGGTAGCAGATGAAGGAAGCAGGCATCCCTAACCAACCAAAAAGCCTAGTATGTCATGCAGAGGGCTTCCAGGGCCTACGCAGCCTGATGGTAGGGTGTATAGCATCTAGAATTTGAGTTCACAAAATCCCACCTACATATTAGAGTTTGTGTGATTGATAGATAAGGTTAGGACCCATGCAGTGGGGCTGGTAGCCACATTTACAATGCAGAAGGTAATCAGGATAAGGTATGCTGTGACAGGAAATACAGGCAGCTCCAACACACCGACCACTAGGAATTTGTTGTATCTTAACATTTCCCATATCAGTAACAGCATAGTAACACAGCTGATTGATTAGATCCAATTAATAATAAACCCCTTCTGTTGTTTTTACTTTTTGTAGGGGCGTTTATTACTTTGGCTGTAGGAGTTTACATCTAAAATAGAGACACGTTAGGAGGCTGAAGAGATGGCTCAGTGGTTAAGACCAATTGATGCTCTTCCAGAGGACCCGGGTTCCATTCCCAGCACGCACATGGTGAGCGGCTCACAACAGACTGTGACTCCAGTTCCAAGGTATTCAACAGCCTGTGGCCTTCAAGGGCACTGCAGGCTCACGGCGCACATATGTCCACACAGGCAAACATCTATACACATAAAATAAATAAATCTTTTACAAGGAAGATCTAAATGTGAAAGTACTTAAGAAATAAGCTATAAAAGAGAGACTTGTTGGGGACTTTTGAATTAGGTTCACGTCATTGCTAAGGCACTTGAAGATGTGCTAGCTTTTCGCAAGACCACCTGGATGTGTCCTTAGAAGAGGTCAGCACAAGTTAGAAGTGAGATATACAAATACTGAAGCTTTAGATCACAAAGACTGTAAGTGCCCAATAGGGTCCTTTCTAGCCTGGCTGACTGGAGTCTTGGATGTGGTGTCTTATTAAGTTGACAGCATTGTCTGGCTCTCGTTCTCGTTCCTTTAGGTGGTCACCTCCTGGGAGTAATCACTGTGGAAAGACTCTGTAGCCAATTTTGAATTGTAGCTATTATTTTAAAGATTATTTATTTATAAATCTTATGTGTATGAATGCATATACATATATCTGCATATACACCTCCATGTCAGAAGAGGGTATTGGATCCCATTATAGATGGTTATGAACCACCATGTAGTTGCTGGGAATTGAATTCAGGACCTCTGGAAAAGCAGCCAGTGCTCTTAATCACTGAGTCATCTCTTCAGCCTGTAGCTATTATTTTAAAAATCTCTTAAAATAGTGTGCAATGTTTCTCTTTGGGCAATGGTTCAGTCCTTTGTCCCATTGTCCTTTCTGTTTCCTTGATAAACACGATTTCCAAGAGCAACTTCAGGGAGAAAAGGGTTTATTTCATCTTACTCTTCCAGTTACAAGCAGGGATGTTGGGAAGACAACACCAAGGCAGAAACCAGAGAGGAATGCTACTGACTGGCTGGCTCTCTGATTCCTGATCTACTTGTTTTCTTATATTTTCAGAACTACTTGCCTGGGGATGGTAGCACCCACAGTGGGCTGGACCCTCCTACAGCCATTAGTAGTCAAGACAGTGTCCCATAGACCCGTCCACAGGAATTTCGATCCACGCAGTTCTTAAACCGAGGTTCCCTCTCCCAGGTGCCTCTAGTTCATGTCAAGCTGACAATAAAACTAACCGGTACACCCATTAGTTGTTCTACAGGGAGATAATTGATGTTTTCCAAAACAAGTGAATATTAGATTTAGAATTAATGGAAATGCTTTGGCTAAGGAAGATGAGAGCTTAAATTAATTTTAGCAACTGATTTTTTTTAATGCTGCTATATATTTATTTAGCTGTCAGTCCAGAGAACTGAAGATCGCTGTAGACATAGAGACAGTATTGCATAACAGCCCAAATTTTACAAAAAATTTAAACATTTGCCCGGTAAAATGAGTTCCATACTTATGTAATTTATCAGAAATGCCCCAAGTAGA